TGTTTCCAAGAAGAGTATGATAATAATAATTATGACACTCATAACCCAGTGTAAGTTTCAGTACCCATATGTTTATTCATTTATGATTAATTCATTTTTATAATTTGTAGATTGAATTTGCACTGCGTAAGTTTCATTGAAGAACTTCTGTCATCAACTATCAGTATTGCTTCAACACCAAAGAGATCTGTTCTAGATGATTTGCATAAGTACGTACATTTTTTGTAATAAAACTATGAAAAAATATTCTTTGTGTATCATTCAACATCCAAAGTCATAACTTTTATTATGAGTTGAAGTCTATGTAGCGCTGATTTATATCATAAAGTTCCCAGTAATTCATGCTAAATCTTCAGTATCAATAGAAAATGCAGGTATATTTTTAAGAAAGTCAGGATGACTTGACTATTAATGCAGGATGATGTTATCTTAAGCTCTCAATCGAAATAAGATAGGCTCAAGATACTTTGAGAATTTCAACTGCAACACGTCTTCATAGTAAAGACTCATAACTTACCTCATATCCGAAGTTTCAACTACTTCATAATAAAGAAGTTGCAGTCATATATTTATAGCTAAGTTTTTTCAGTGTAGGAAACTTGATAAACCAAATGATGATGATGATTATATTAAACTCAAGCGAATTGTACAATAAAGAAACTCTACTAAACTAAGGAATAAAATATCGGCGAAATAATAATAATGGTTTGCTGATCATGGTGGTGACAAAAATCTGAAATATTTTGGAAGGTTTAAAAGTTCTTCTTTTTGAACAGCAGTACATTCAATGTTGATGTGGAGACTGTTGGATCTACCACATGCAATATTCGCACTTTTACCTAACCAGGAAAAAGTTACAAGAAACTTCGAGACTCCCATAAAAGACATTGAATGTGTTTTTTTTTTCGGCAGTTTCAAAGGCTGTACTTTCAATTTTGATCCAGCACTTTAGAGAATCAGTTCAAATGGGCTGTTGTTGGACTCAGCAAAGTTAGAAGGAGGAGTGAATGTCTAAAATCTGGTCATAAAGGAGGAGAAAACGATTCAGTGGGAGGTGTCGGTTGGCAAAAAATGTTTATCTATTAAAGCAATATCTACTAGTCATTTATACAACTATACGCATTACCACGCGATTTGATCTGTGTCACAGCACAGCCAAAAAGAAATTTTTTATATCGACATAAATAAAGTACTCACAGAAGACCATACACATTTTAATATCATGTGCGGCGACTTTAAAACGCTAAAGTGGACTGATCCGATGGAAGAAGCTCTTTCAAGTTCCTGGAGAAAAATCTATTTCCGATGAACAGCTTCTTTTGCAAGAAAGCTCACAGAAGATGGACTTGGAAGAGTCCAGATGGTAAAACACTGATCGAAATAGATTATTACATCACTGATAGAAATCATATATTCCATGACGTTACTGTATTAAACAAAATTGCCACAGCAAGCGACCATCGGCTGGTAAGAGTCAAAATTCAAATCAGTACGAGTAAAGGGCGACAAAGAATGGTTAATAGAAAATGACCATAAAGATAGATTCCTCCGACAAATGGAAAAGAGTTAGGATGTTTGAAAGGCACATCAGTAAATCAAGCTAACCGAATCAATACAATAGATGAATCCCAAGAGAAAAGTTTGTACCACAGAGCCAATAGAGGAACAAGGAAGATCACTAAAAAGCGTCAAAGATGATCCACAATCCATCAACACATCCAATAGAGATATCTCCAAAACCATCAGGAAATATCTAGGGCAGTTTAAAAAAAGACCAAATCCTACAGATCCTTGAAGAAATAGGAGCATGAAAGTAATGATAAGCAAATTTACAAGTGGCAAAAAGGAAATCTTTAAGCTTAAGGACGAAACCTGAGAATCCACAACCAACAGAGAAAAGTTGATTCAAAAAGTCGAAAAATGCTATGGAACTTTATATAACAATTAACAGACAATGAATTAAACAGAGTACCTATACAAAGAAAAGTCCAAAACCAAGAATCGGAAGATATTCAGGATGTTTCCATAGATGAAATCCAAAATGCTTCAAAAAAGACAAGCAACAACAAAGCTCCGGGGGGAAAATGGTGTAATCGCAGAAACTATAAAAATAGGAGGGCCAACACTAATTAGAAAAATTCAAAATCTATTCAATCTGTGTCTGTAGAATCATAACATTCCGGAAAACTGGAACAACTCAATCATGATTTTGCTACATGTCGACCTATACAAATTATATACTCGCATAATAGTAATCGACTAGACGCTAAATTGGACTTTTATCAGCCCCGGGAACAGGCTGGTTTCCTCTCTGGGTTCGGTACCAACGATCAACTTCTGTGTCTCAAAACCCTCATATTATTATAGAAAAGGGTATTAGGTAACTACAACCGTCCTTTGGTATTGGTGTTTGTAGATTTCCAAACGGCGTTCGACACCGTGGAAATTCTTGCAAACTTCAGATCACTACAAGAAAGTAGAGTTGATGATGAAATTATTAAAAACATATACGGAAACGCAACGACCACCGTAAATCTTCACTCGGCCACCAGAAAAATTAAAATCATAAAAGAGGAAGCTGACAGGGTGACCCTATGTCACCCAAGCTGTTGATCACAGTTCCCGAACATGCTTTTGAGAAATTGTCTTGGCAGCGAAAAGGAATAATCATCGATGGAGAAAATCTTAATAATCTCCGCTTTGCTGATGATATTGTCAGATAGTCTGATGGGCCAAGCTAAAGAAATGTTCCAGGAACTACAAAATTCCACGCAAGAAGTGGGCCTGAAGATTCAACTTCTCCAAAACCAAAATGATGACTAGTTCCCAGTGAGCAAATAGAGATAGGCAATAATAACATAAAAATAGCGGACAAGTAAGTATACCTGTGCCATGAGATGAGAATCCACAAAGATAACTAAACATGCGAATTGACGAGAAGAATAACCTTGGGATGGGCAGCATTCAGGAAAATAAGGGTAAGGGATGTGTTTAGGGCTGACATTTCAATATCCTTGAAACGAAAAGCATTCAATTGACTCACCAAAGCATCAGCAAAAAAGTTGAGAGTAACACAGAGGCGAATGGAAAGGTCCATGCTTGAATTGAAACAAAAGGAAATGGTAAGGCCACGTGGCAAGATCTGAGGATAAGAGATGGACGGAGAAACTTGTTAAGTGGAGTGGAGACCAAGAGCCGACAAACTAAATCGAGGAATACCTCCCACTTGCTGGACCCTAGACCTAGAAAGGATTTCATCAAATTGGATCGCAACTCCTCAGGACAGACAACTGGAAAATTTTTAGAAGAGGCCTATGTTCAACAATGGACGTGAAAAGAGGTGGTTTGATAATGATGACTTTAGAGAATTAAGCAGAAATCAGAAATTTGGGCTTGCGACAATCTACAGAGAGAAGGCTGAACTAAGCGTATTCGAATGTGTACTGTTTTGGTACATTTGCCAAAAGTAATATCTACGGAAGCGTAGCCACACATCATGAAAAGCGCCCGAGAGGAAGAAGCTTTTTCAGCGACTTTTGTTGATCAGTTGCTGGACATATGGATAGTAAGTTACAATGAAAGACATCGTACCAAGAGAGTCCAAAACTCCACTTTGCTCTAGAAGCTAAAAGATGTTTATTCTAAAGCAAATCCACAGCGCCTCAAAAGCTAGAAGCGACTAGGTACTCAGCTACCAAAACCAGAATGGACATGAAAAACTGTTTGGCCCAACTACAAGGAAGGATAAGAAATTATTCAGAGTCTAGCTACGGAAAAAGGGATTTAATAGAGAAAATGATATTATTGGCAAAGAGTGCCCTTATAAAGTTAACATGGTTTTCTCTAAAAAACTTCAACCAGTCTCTCGATCGAAACGCAATAGTTATAAAGAAAATAATCCTTATTTGTTACGTATAACAGACCTTGACTCACAAATTTTGCATATTATCTCACAAAAAAATCACTTTTACCAAAAGCAGTAGACTGCTTGATTCTCATTCGCTAACTCTCCACTAAACCAAAGTTCCCCCGCCGCGTGACAACCACGTATACAAAACTAAATTGGTTTTTCTATGAATCACAAAACTTAATAGAATTCGTACAGAATTTGTAAGTTGCTATGACAATAATTCGTCGTTTAGGGGGATATAAACAAGCAAGACCGTTCACCTTGTGATGTTAAGACAATGCACTCAGACATGCTATGATGGTATTTTCTTCGTTTTATTATAATATTATTATTGTTTGAAACTTTGATAAATATTTCACGCATAATTGGAGTCAAACTTCACTTTTGCTCTACAATCAAAATAATTCCATGAAAATCTAAATTAAATTTGATTGTTCGAGTATAAATAATTGCTTTATTAGAATAAATTTTGTGGTATGGAATCTGGGATTAATTTTTAGTTTAGCTAAAACGAAATATCCATATAGCCTTGAAAGTTTTCGTGCAAACTTTCATGTTCGTGTCGGTCAATTTACAGAATAGTGCCAGAACTATTTTTATTAAGTATCTAATTATTACTTTGTGGGCACTATTTTGGGAGCCGAATAAAATTTTCATTATTTTAGCTTGTAGTTGCCACAAAAGTTTGAAATTTTTTTTATAATTTCTGCAGCTATAGGTACAAGTCTTTTAGGTACAGTTTAGGTCAGGTTTTGAACTTTAATTTGAAAAAAAAAAAATGCAGAAAAAAAAATAGCGGTTCCACACATTCACTAGTAACACACATTTTGATAGTTCATGAAGATTTCCCTATAATTCTGCACAATCAAAGAAGCTATAATACACAATTTGACTCGAAGACACAGTAATATAACTGTACAACGTCTCAAATGAATAGTAAAGTGTTTCACTTCCCAAAACATACAAAAACTTTTGAAATACTAAAAAAAAATTCTCATACATCTACTTACAAATAGTTATTTCCCAACACAAACAAAAGTTACCCCTTAACCCGACTTTGGCACGTGTGCTTTTTGCCGCCGGCACTAACCTGAGTTTTGAGCAGATGTCGTACACGTTGGAAATCGCCTTGCTGGGCGGCGTACATTAGCAAAGTGACGCCGTGAGAAAGACGCCGACGTCGGGGACGCCGTTCGGGACTGCGGGCGGCGCTGCACATGCCGGAAATCACGCCGCCCTCTGATGGTAAAGTTTGAAAACTGACTCGGTGGGCGGTTTCATGATGGTATCTGCAAAAAGAACAAATAATCAATTAAACCAATAGTATATGAAATGGAAATTTTGGTAGAATCTAGGAGTTGGAGTATTAGTGAGCACATTTCTTTTCCCACAAGTCTTCCTTATTCATAACCTTGGAATCCAAATTCAGAACAAATTCCAGAGTAGTCCAGTAGCCTAAACGGTGTGTATGATTTTGGATGAGAGTTGTCGTCCTTCCCAGGTTTAGGGATAATTGTAACTTTAACTTCTCTCGACTTCATGAGTATATGATTTAGAACAAGACAGGCCTTGAATCAAGGTGTGAAATAATTGCCTTCAGACTTCACTGACTTAATAGATTTGAAGGTTTGACAAAATAAAGATGAAACCCTTTTATTATTGGAATTAGTACCTATAAGTATTGTGCGTCGATTTTAATGTGATACTTGGCAGGAATGTGAGCTGGTGGCTCCCTACATTATAACGCCAATGGTTACCTGTCGTCATACCTGTTTTTGCCATATGAAATACCCCCTTGCTCCTCATACGGAAAGTGTCAGATAAAAAACGACGGATTTTATTCTAAATGTTTTTGCATGTGAACCATTTTTTGCTCTATTTATTTCAAGAAATAAATAGTTGAGGACAGTAACTCACTGATGAGTTTTTAGTTTTAATTTTAACAGTGGGGTAGTAAAAAGCGGAAAGTGTTGTGCTATTTACAACCTTAATTTATTATAAACAATTTTTACATTTTTTACTTGTACTCTTCTAGAATACAACTGTCAACTGACATTCTATATACAACGTTGCCAACTCAACAATTTTGACAACAAATTACAAAGAACTGTAATTTTTACAATAATAAATTTTCTTTTTGCAATTACAGATTTCTGTTATTTTAACACTCACCTTTAGGCTTATCTCTTTTAATGTTTTTAATGATAATCTGAATCATGCAATGCTTCATGATGTTTTTTTAAATTGAGAAAAGATAATGCAAATCATTTTAAAATTCGTTTCCTCCATCTGTACAGATATCAGTAGGTAGGTGGTCACAAACTTAGAAGTAGGGCATTTCTTGAGTTACTCGGTTTTGTCGTGACGACTAATTTAAATTAAGTTTTAAAATAAATGCATATCTAACAAGTTTCCATATAAAATGAAATAAAAGAAATATTTTAAAAAGAAGATCACAAGATACGGAACTAAAAGAAAAATGGTCGCGTGTAACAACTTGTATTTCTTGTAAATTCTTTTCCTCAGTTTCGTCCTTCACCTTAGCATTGACAAATCGACGAGGCCTTGAAAGTGAATTACAAAAAAATATTTTAGTGCTGATGAATGCATAATTAAAAATCTCATTATATGAATAATAGAGAGTTATTGGACGTGCAATAAGGACAAGCAGTATTCAAATTAGCCTTATTTTGACATCTACGCATGCGCATTTGGCTCCGAAATTAGGGATTCCCTTATTAAGGTTACTGCTTGTCTTTATTTGTGCATGGTTAGTGCGAGGCAGTAAACTTCCTTTATTTCAAATTTCTGACATTTTGGACGACTTTGACATTTCGCTTTTCGACGATGACGTAATTTTACTTAGAAAATTTATTTTTTATAATAGTTTTCCATTTTACTGTGGGTAACATCAAAAAATGGGTATCAGCAGAAAATCACAAACAAAAATAAAACACTTTTTGAGGCTGAAATTTATAAACATAACTATCAGCTGTCAAAATTATGAATACAAAATAAGGTAATACTCTAGCACCTACTAGACTCTTCCAATAACTGTTTTTTCTTGGAAAAATAGTGCTGATGCACTAATGAAATAACGTAGATCCTTAATACTGCGTGGCAGTATTTAATAGTTCCAATAACTCTCTAATAACAAGTAAATAAATGCACTATTGAAAGCAGCAATAAGTCAAACTTGTTAAGTGACAATTTTTAAGAGTTTCGTGACATGACAACACAAAAGAGAATCAAAAACTTACGAAGTCTAACATGCCACGCTGAAATTAAATAGGCGTCGATTTCAGAAGAGGTAAAGTAACTAGATAGATAGACAGCTCACGCGAATAACAGTTTTGTTCTTTGTAGCGTGCAAAAATTTTGACTGTTCTCCACTTTAAAATCATTTGAAAATTTAGTTTTCCAATAGAGAAAATCCAACTTTTATTTCAAGGGATAATGCAAATTATTGTACTCGTTTCGGAAAATATATTTGTATTTTTTTATCTCTTGGGCTATTGTGATACTGTTCTGATGGGCTGGATTCAGGCAAAAAATAAGCGAAAACAATTATTAACTTATATTCTTGCCCACCAGAAAACGTAACACTAGCAGGAAGATATGTAACTCATATTTCAGCCACCAGTGGGCGGTGTTCATCACCTTATTATGGTCATGCCTATTTTGTCTAACATGCATTTTTATTATATTTAAGTAAATCAATTAAATTCAATCTTTTACTTTGCAGTTAATATTCAAACCTAATTTTTGTAGTTACTCTGTTAAAGTCAAAACTATTGTTAAAGTTTATTTTTCGAAATAAAATAATTTTTTAAAAAGTGATTTCTAAGAAGAGATCCTTTAACTGGCGCAGTCGAGGTAGCGTTTCAGAAGACCTTTTGGCACATCCAGTTTGGAAGTAGCTCTTCCTGAAGCTGATTCAGAAGATCGTCAGTCTCAACTGTTTACTGAGATCAATTAGGAACCGAGGAAAAAAAGTACCTAGTAAGTGAGCTCCTAATGAATATTATAATGCTGAAGAATTCGATAATCCCCAGACCGAGCCAACAAACAACGTAAATTTTCACGAAATTCTCTCAGAAACCAGTACGCCCTAAACCCAAATAGTTTTCAAGCCAATTCTCTCCCATATATAGAAATTCAAAATCCAACAGCTAGCTTCTTATTAATACAGGCAGCCACATTTCTTTAATAAGACCAATTATTGCCCAACAACATTTTCCACATTTGATCTCTAATTCAAAACACGCCTCAATTACATGCACTGGACACACACACACACACCTAGTACAAAGCAAAAATTCCCTGGCTAGACGAATACGGACTACTATGATGGCATCATTGGCATACGAGATCTACGTAAATTAAATCTAAATATAGATCTAACGAACAGAATATTTTTTGATGATTCAACAGAAATTCCTTTAGTCTATCGTGACGATTTTATTGTACAGAAAATTGAAATTCCACCGTTGACTATTGTTATAAAGTACATTAACACCAATATTCCTGACGACACAGAAATTTTTATGTCACACTTGCATAACGATAGATAATAGAAATTTCGTCCTCGCTTTTATCAGTACGAAATGGTACAGTACCACTAGAAATTCGAAACCTGAGTAAGTATTATAATACATTTTAACTCGATTTCCATCGAAGAAAAAGCTGAAATTTTTAATTCGGGAGTCTTTGAACTTCAATATAGAGCAAATTCATGCGAAAGCATCTGCACCTAGTGATTCCGAAAATTGTGATTTTTCTGTAATCAGACCACCTAGAAGAACGAATAGAATTGAAAAAAACTAATATTGCAATTCAGTGACATCCTTTATAAGACCGAACAAAACCTAACCTTCACTCACCAAGTCAAACACGAAATCAAAACGGCAGACGAAATTCCAATCCACACAACATCTTAAAGTCCAAAAACAAATCCCACAAATGTTGTACGACTGAATTATACGCCCATCTTCTAGCCCTTGGTCTTCTCCTGTGTGGATCGTCCCAAAGAAGCAAGACGCCTCAGGAAAAAAAAATGCCGTATCGTGATTGACTATCGCAAAATAAATGAGAAAAGGATTGATGATCGTTATCCAATTCCCATTCCCAACATCTCTGACATACTAGACAAACTTGGCAGAAGTCAATATTTCACAACCCTCGATTTGGCTTCACGGTTCCATCCTTTGAATATAAAACTACAGGAAGGAGCATAACTTCGAATCTGCGCGACCAAAATATGTGGAGGTTGCATATGGCCGACTAGTATTTCCGGTTTGGCAGTGGCGTATATTTATTTAAATATGATTGTAAATATTATGACTCACTCTTTTCTCACTAATTCCAATACCACCAATATCACTTAAAACCGCTAAAATCCATTAAACATCCACTTGAATGAGGACACAGCGAACCACCAAAACAAATGATGAGTCCAAACTTGGAGGCTCAAAATGGCCGTTTCCGTCCCTGCGTTGTCTGTAGTGACAGATAGAAAACGCTCCTTCCTGTAGTTTTATATTCAAAGGTTCCATCCAATGAACTATAGTCAAAAACTGGAATGCGCACACATTGCCATATCTGCCAAAAAAATGTAGCCAGGAAAGACAGATGCCACAGAGGGGAATGTTGTTTTTTTCTGTTGATCGCTGACATATGACGTTTTGGAAAGTTTTGTCATATTTACCTTCACCTATAGTTCATTGGTTCCATCAGATCGAAATGGATCCAAATTCTATCCCAAAGACAGCCTTCAATGTCGAAAAGGGACATTTCGAGTATATCAGAATGCCATTTGGTCTAAGAAATGCACTGGCAACCTTCCAAAGGGTCATGGATAATGTCCTCAAAGATCTTCGAGTAAAACTATGTCTCGTTTACATGGACGACGTCATAATCATATATCACTAATATCAAAATGGTTTTTGCCCGACTTAGGGAACACAACCTTAAAATTCAACTCGAATAAATCCAAATTTCTTCAAAAAATGGTTGAATCTCTAGGTCACGTTATAACTCCGGAAGGTATAAAACCCAATCCTTAAAAAGTTGAGGCAATCAAAAAGTTTCCTATACCTAAAACACCCAAAGAAATCAAGCCATTTCTAGGTTTCGTAGGGTATTATAGGAAATTCAACAAAGATTTCGCAAAGTTGACAAAACCTCCCAACTAATTGTCTTAAGAAGAATAATAAAGTGAAGCATACTTTAGAGTTCTCTCAAAATTTCGATTTCGAAACTTGCAAAAACATTCTAATGAACGACCCCA